ATGAGTCAGAATCGACTTGGTGGCAACTAACAACAACAACACAACCTGAAGTTATGCTAATCTTCCAGGAAACTGGGAGTAGGGGCCTGATCATTCTTTAGGATTACATTTCAAAAGAGTTGGTTCCCAGGTCAGGAAACATCCTTCATTTACATGCTTTTCAAAAAGAGGGAGAAAGAATTTACAAGTTAGCTAAAGAGAATTCTAAAAGAACAGGGGGGAAGGAGAGCCTAATTCCTTATTTTTGGCAGGGAGAATTAAAACCTCTTATTTTCAATTTGTATTTGTCCGTACAGGCTGGTGGTGCAGTGGTTAAGCATTTGGCTACTAACCAAAACGCTGGTGGTTCAAATCCACCAGCCTCTCCTTGGAAGCTCTATGGGGCAGTTTTACTCTGTCCTATAGGGTCACTATTGATTGGAATTGACTTGACAGCAATGGCTTTGGTCTTTTATTTGTCCTTACTATATTCTGCACTTGACACTTCAGGGCTGCCTGCCCCCTAGACTTACTGTGAAAATAGACGGTGGTTGGAAGGGGCTTTGAGCATCTCAGAGAGCCTACCCGTGGACCTGGAAGTCTGGAACACATGCTGGAGTCTTGTCTGTTTTGGGGACTGTACCCACCTCTCTGGGTGGCAGGCCCCACTGTGGCCCAGGACCCCTCCACACCCAATCAAAAACCTAGTCCAAGCTTCGATAGGCCTGACACCCCAGTTCTCCCAAACCCTGATCCTGAGAACATTTCCCATCCCACACACATCTCCATCAGTAGGGAATTTGACCACAAGTTACCAAGAAATGTCTCTGTCAGAGAGAAGAGCCAGGAAGTATTAATCTGAGAAGGAAGGAGCATCAGATTCCTAAGGAAGGGGGCAATGCATCGATTTAACAAGGATTTACTGAGTGCCTACCACCTGCTGGGCATTCTGCTAGGCACTGCAAAGACTGCAGCATTGTCTTAGCATGTGTGTGTGTGTGTGTGTGTGTGTGTGTGTGTGGTGGGGGTGGGGAGCCAGGATCCTGAAGCCCACCTAGAGTGTGAACAGTGTATTCTGAAAGGCTGAGGAAGGAGGCTGGGGACAGGGTTTGGTCCATCAGGGGAAAGTAAGTCTCCCATAGGGACTGATCCTGCTGCCAGCCAGCCAGCCAGCCAGCCAGCCAGCGAGCCCTTCCTGCCAGCCTGGAAACCCCCAGGGCCTAGTATGAAGAACCAAAAAAAAAACCAAACCTGCTGCAGTCAAGTTGATTCCAACTCATAGCAACCCTATAGGTCAGGGTAGAACTGCCCCATAGGGTTTCCAAGGAACGGCTGGTGGATTCGAACTGCTGACCTTTTGGTTAGCAGCCAAGCACTTAACCACTACAACACCATGGCTCCAGTATGAAGAAGCTGCACAATAAATTAACACTGAGTGAGGGTATGGATGGAAAGCATCCCGTGAGACCTTGCCTCAGAGCAGGGTGGGTGATCCAGGGAGGTCCCCAGCTAACTCCAGCTACTGAGTGTAAGGAACTCAGCTAGGTCTCTTACAGAAAAACGCAGACTTGGCCCCTCAGAAGGTCACCACACAGAAGGTGATGAATACTGAAAAGGCAACACAAGAAAGTTAAGAGCCAAGGGATGGACTTCTGGATGGCTGCTTTGGGGGCACTTTGTGGAGAAAAGGCATTTGCTCTGGGCCTGAAAAAGGGGACTGAAATTGAAGTGTGTGTGTGAGAGACAGTCAGAGAGAGAGAGAGGAGTGTTGCTAAGTATCCCAGGGGGACAGGGATGGATGGAACAAAGGCATGAGGACAGAAATGTAGTGAAAGATTCATGCATCACTATTAATACATCTCAATTGACTAATGTTTAAAGTTAGAAAAGGATTTTGATAGTTCATCTAATTTCATCTTCACAACAATTAGGAGAGATAGGCAAGGATTATCTCTATCTTACAGACAAGAAAACTGAGGCCCAGACAGGGGCAGTAACTTCCCTAAGGTCACATAGCAAGTGGCAAAAGGATGACAAGAACCCAGGCTTTCAGACTCAAATCCTCTGTTCTCTTTCCACTACCCTCCAGTTACTGCCAAGGGTCAGGAAGCTGTGGGAAAGAAGGTTGGAATGCCACCACCACTGGCCAAAGTGAGCAGGGATTTGAATGTGGGGCTTGAGGAGTCTGGGGAGTTTGGAAGGCTACTGAGTGGAGATGAATGTTAGGGAGATCATCACAGTGACATGGCAGAGGCACCTGGAGGGGCAGACCTGGACCTAGAATGTGAAAACAACCTATTGTGGAGAAGGGAAGAGCAGAGGATCAGGTGAGGCAAAGATGGAGAGGAGGATGGGAAAGCCTTCACCAGGGAGGGAGCCACAATTAGGAAGATGAGAAGCTGCTGGAGGCAATGTGGAAAGGGGAGAGAGAGACCAAGAATGATTGTGTGTGTGAATCTGTGGATGGAGTTGCAGGGGAGTGTCCAGCTGGACTCCTGCCTAGAGGGGATGGCCAGACTAAGAGAAGAAGATGAAAAACTTTGAGTCAGGGAGGGTAGAGGTCCGACTTGTTGATCTGATGGCCCTGAATTACTAAGAAAATAGGGAAACTGTGTGTTCTGCTTAGCATCACAAGGAATGTGTGATACCTTTTAGAATGGGATTCCTCAAAAGCAGTTATGATACAAAATTCTGGGGACTTAAATAGGGTTTAGCTTTACATATTTCACTGATTTGGAGTTTTGCACCCCAATCATGATAAGCCAGTTTTTATGGGCTTCAAGATAAAATAAGAATCCCTAAAGTTAAAAAAAAAGGTCAAGAATACTTCAAAGATGTAAATTACAATTTCATTGGTAAATACTAACACTGGGGAATTTCTCCTAACCAAAAAGTTATTGGTGTATGCAAAGATTTAGCTACACAGTGTTGTTTGTATTATGAAAAAATGGAAATAACCTAACTGTCCAACAACAGGGGATTAATTGGGTAAATTTTTGTTTATCCTTATGATAGAATGATATGTACCCATTACAAATGATACTGAAGAAATAAATTTCATGACATGGAAAGATGCTCATTATATATACATATACACACAGAGATGATTATCTGTGAATTAAAACAAAGTTCTTGTTTTAAAGCATTTTTTTACAGCCTCTTGTTTGCCTTCACATGATCACTTTGGTCAATTTCTTGGGTTAGAAGAGATGCAACCTTCCTCTTCCTAATCTCATTCTGAATTTCCAAGCTGCTGTGTCTATCCCTCCCCAGGTTCTGAGGGGAAAACACAAGCATTCTTCCTGCACAGAGAATAGACTCCAATACTCAGGAGCCATTTTCTGCTCTTCTTGCTCAGAAGGTCTTGGTCCCTGTAGCAGGCTCCCACTCCCATGTGCTACTGACTCTTTCCCCCAACCTCATTTCCTGCTGGTTCCAGGGCCTCAGCACCTTCCATTTTGCTTAATACCTAGCTAGGCTCATTCCTCATAGTTCCTCCTGCCTCCTTGCTTCTCCCAGCTCCTGCACGCACCACTCCCTAGGAGACAGCTTTGACCCATTCCTGCTGGTTTCCTGGGAACCAGCCTTGGCATCAGTCACAGCATTCAGATTCTGGTGCACCAGAATTGAATTAGCCCATCCATTTCCTCTGTAGGAGGGAGGCAGCAGAATGACTGACCGGTGGAAGGCTGCATCAATGTGTCTCTATATAGCTATATCATTGCAACTGGGTGGTGCTGTGCAGGGGGCGCTAAGGTGAGGGGAGTGAGTGACACAACCAGCTCCACCTGGAATTTCTACTGACTTCTGAATCACAGCTTTGGGGAGGTGAAGGAAGGACCCAGGCTGGCTTGGCCACAGTTCTGGAAGGAAGAGGAACACCCAGCCCAGCCTCCAGGAGTACAAGTCAGAAGAGGTCTAGCTATGAGCCCACGAGCTAAATTGCTGCCTTTACCAAGGGTCCTAGGCTTTCCAACCCTCTGGCCAGACTCATGGCCTCCAACAGTCCCAAGCAATTCCCCTCATGCTGCCCAGAACTTCTGCTCCGTGCCAGGGCCACGTGAGGCTGTGGAGGTGGCAGCGGCAGCAGTGCTAGGAGAGACAAGTCTGTCCCCCACCCCTACCCCAATTCAGCAGTCCAGGCTTCTCAGAATCCCTTCTCTTCCTCCCTGTCTCATGTCAGCGGTGGGGCAGTCCTAGGGATGTAGACTGAGAAGGGTGACGGGTATCTCCCTGGTTATTATTAGACCCTAGGGCAGGGACCTTGCAAACCATGGTGCTTTACAAACATCCTCGCTCCCGGTCACTGCAAGTCTGTAAGGTAGGGCTGTTTTGTAGCTGAGAAAACCGAAGTCCTGGGAATCCCTTGGCAGGCCTCACCAGCAGCGATCGGACTGGGATTTCCTCTGCCTGGCAGCTCCAGGTAGCACCCCAGGCAGAGTAGGCTTTCCTTTTCCTTCCCCTGGGCAGGTAAGCGCCTAGAGGGTGTCACCCCTCAAGAAAGGAGCAGTGTGAAGGCCGAAACTCTCCCTTCTTGACACAATAGCAGGATTGAGGAGCCAAACCGATTCTTCTGGCTTCAATCTTGGTGTTCACCCTGGAGAAGGCGGCAGGTACCCGGGCAAGCCCCTCTCCTGAGCTAGGGAGATAGGCGTCCTCACCCCCGGCAGAGAGTGGAGAGGACCTGCCCATAGGGGCTAACAAGCTGGGAGAATGCGGAATGCAGGGTGTAACTGCGGGCCGGGACGTTTGGCTTTCCAGGACAGTCTTTCTCCCAGGCAAGCTGGAGTGGGGGTGGAGTGGGAGCGGGCGGGCTGAGCCCGCGGTCGCCCAGGGGCGGCGGCGCCGAACCGGAGGGGGTGGAGAGGAGCAGCCGCCCTGTACTTCCCCTTCGCCGCTAGCTCTACAACAGCCTGATTTCCCCGAAATGATGAGGCGGTGCCGGCCAATGGGCGGCCGTGCGGCTCTTACGAGGCGGGGCCAGGCCTGGGCCGGGGGAATCCCGCTAAGTGTTTAGATTGCTCCGCCGCGCCGCTTCTCTGGCAGAGCGCGCCACTCCATCGCCGAGGTAGGACGTGCACCAGAGCGGTGCCGAGCTGAGTCCAGCCGGAGCCGTGCCAAGCCAAGGCCAGCCCTGCCCCGCGGCTCCGCGACTCAGGCATCCTCCGCTTTCTCCACTTCCCACACCGATCGCACTCCCCGCGCCCGCACAGCAGTCCCCGCCGCGCCGGCACCCTCGGGCGCTGGAGAGGTGAGCCCGCCTTCGCCGCTGGGGGAACCGGCGACGTCGAACAAAAGGCGCGCGGGGTACCAGGAAGTGGGGGCCGAAAACCGAAGCCGGGGGAGTCGCGGGCGCGCGGCGTTGCCTGGGCCCCAGCGCGGGCTCAGGAGGGCGCTGAAGGGGCGGCGAGCGGCGGCGGCGCGGGGTGGGCAGGCCGCGTCGTGGACCGCCCACCCGGCCGAGGTTGCAGGCTCCCGGCTGCTTTCGCAGATCTTTGCGCACGGAGCCGCCCGGGGCATCTGGTGGCCCGGTATGTTCGTCACGCGCATCCACACGCCTTGCCGGGGACTCGAGTGGGCGCCCAGGGCTCCCAGTGCCTGCTTTCCTCGGTCCCAGCTCCGCGCTCAGGCCCCCCAGGCTTTCGGGCTCGCTGTGCTAGTGGCGGGGGCTGGAGGTTCCCCTGGTGGGAGTAGGTCGTGACCTGCTGGGGCTGCCGGAAGAGGCGCCACAGGTGCTTCTTGGGCCACTTCGCCGGGGGAGGGGAGTTGAGTGAAGAGGAGAGGAAGCCAGGCCGTAGGGTTAGCGTCCTGGTCCTGGTGCAGTGGGCGCTGTGGCTGTCAGGGAGGCCTAGAATGGATTCTGTCCAAAAGGAAATGTCCAGGACGCAGAGTGACTGCTTGTCCATTACTGAAGGTGCACAGCTAGTGGCGACAGCTCAAGTCAGGGAATTTCTTCTTGCTATCACGCAAAATAAGCACCTCCCTTTCCAAAGGATTTGAATTTTGGGAGAAAAGTTCCGTTATCGAGATATCCCTGTATTTTGTTTCTTTTCTGCACGTAAATGCTGAAGCCAGCGCTCACATGCCTGTCTCCTCCCGGAACTGGCTCTGGCTTGCAAGGGGTGAGGGAAGGGGAAGGGGTAGAAGTGTTTTTGCCCAAGATGCTGAAACTATTTGGAGGGCAGTTTTATTGCAGCTCAGGTCCCGCACCCTGATAATAGTACTCAGCCTGTAGTACCCACCAGGAGGGCCCAGAGTATGTGAGGGAAGGGGAGGGTAGTTGACCTGGATGGGGCTGGGTAGTGCCCAGGGGCTGCTCAACAGATTCCAAACAGGAGCTCTTTGTCTTCTCTTTACAGCCAACATGCCCATCACTCGGATGCGCATGAGACCCTGGCTAGAGATGCAGATTAATTCCAACCAAATCCCAGGGCTGGTCTGGATTAATAAAGTGAGTGTAACTCTTTGGATTTTTCTGCCACTGTTTTAATCCATGTTCTTTGGGGACCAAAGCTTCAGATGCAGCTCAAAACGGGAAGTGATGAGGGGACAGGCAGATGTGTTTCCCAGCGGGTCACGCTTGCAGGGGGTGTGCAAGGTCCAGCCATGGGCTCCACTTGCCAGACTCCTGCCTTCCTCCCTTCTCAGGGTATAGAAAGGGCACCCACCTGAGGTCACTCAGAGTTTCCAGCAGCAGAGAGTCTCCCAGCATCTGCAGAGCTTGAATGCTGGCTTCTCCTACACACAGGTTCATGCATGTGCATGCATGTGCTCACTCACACACACACAGTCACACACACACACACACACACACACACAGCATTCTACCGGCCTCCAGTCTGGACAGATAGGAGACAGAGAGGTGGCTACTGCTTGGCAGGAAGGTGGAAGGCTCAGCAGGGAACCCAAGAATTAAACTTGCACTAGTTGCTCTGACCTAAGAAGCTTATAGCTGACAGACTCAGGGCAGCACAGACCCTGCACACTTGGTGGTAATAATAGTATTTATAGTACTAGCTAACCATTACTGAACACTCACTATATGCCTGGTACTTGTATTATGTCATTTAATCCTTACAATAGCCTTGTGAGGTAGGGCCTATTAATATCCATTTTCAAATAAGGAAACTGAGGCACTGAGAGGTAGATAACAGAAGACACATAAGGTGATAAAGCCAAGATTTGAACTTGAGCAGTCTGACTCAGAAATCCACACTATGAACCAATGGTAATGATAACAATGAGACTATAGTCTTTATATTTGTCACTATGTCCCCATACATGCTCTGATTTTATATTCAAAGCTTTTTTTTTTTTTTTTTTTTTAAGATCTTTTCTCATTTCATAGAAGAGAAAACTGTGAGGGGCAAAGACAATGTCAGGGTCACAGAGGTAGTCAGCATCCAAGTCTGGTCCAGGGCACCCTCAGGGGTACAGCCAGGATCCCCTGTATGGGAGTCAGTTGGCCCAGGTGTCCTGAGCAGCCCCTTTGAGTGGAAGGGGTTCTCACCAGCACCTTTCCATGTTGATGCTGATCAGCCAGACAGAAGCAGGGCTTCCAAACCAGGACTGTGGGGGAGGGTGTTCTGTGGCTTCCAGCACACCTATAACAAGGAGAGAGAGGTCTTTGCTGGGCTGATAGTGCCAGAGTCCCTCCTGAGAGATCCAGGGTGGTCGAGTAGCCTGTTTATAAGCCAATCTCATGATAGGTCAACCCAAGCCAGATGTCAGGGTGAAAAGCGGAAGTTACCCTTTTCCCAGACCTGGGGGGGCTGGGTGTACTCAGCCCCAAAGGCTGTGGTCTCTCGACCTGTGATGGCTGTGAGCTGATGCAGCCTTGTGTGTGCTGTCCAGGAGGAGATGATCTTCCAGATCCCGTGGAAGCATGCTGCCAAGCATGGCTGGGACATCAACAAGGATGCCTGTCTGTTCAGGAGCTGGGCCATTCACACAGGTGTGTGCACTAGGCTGGAGCCCTGGAGCAGCCTGGGAGGAGATAAGGGGAGGCACTTCTGTAACACAGGGGCTTTGAATTGGGGTCTCTGAGCTCCCTGAGACTGTGCAGAATTGTGTTTGTGTGGGCGGGAGCAGACCTGTGTTTCGGGGGAGAGAGAGGGTCTGTCGTTTCAGTAAGTTCTCAGGGACTCGTGAAGTCGACATCTAAGAAAGGGCAGCTACAGGAAGTTTGTGACTGAATCAAAGTACAACATGGGCAAAAGCAGCTGTGAGCCCGGACACTGACAGAGATCTAGGCTTTCCTTTTTCTTGGTCTGGTTGGTGGCTTCCTTTCTTCCTTGGGGGATGGGGCTCTTGGCCCATCACAGACCAGTTACCCACCTGTCAATAACTGTTCTTTGTTGCCCACTCTGGCTCCTCTCATGTCTGGAAATATCAGATAAGCCCCAGTCCCTACCCTCTGGCTGCTGACAGCCCAGACAGGGAGACTGGGCATGGTCTGGGACAAAGCAGCACACTTGGGGGATAAGGGTCCTGCTAGGGCTTCTGGCTGACCCTTCACTGAGGCCTGCTGGATGTGCTTGAGCCAAGCCTGGGCATTTGAGAAGCCTAGGAGCCCAAGGCCTGCAGAGTGTCACCAGGAATACCTGCTGGCCTGACCGGGGTGTGTGTCTTGCCTTACTCCTCCCAGGCACCTGTGGGCCTGACTGTCCTCTTTGCTCTCCTGCTGTCTAGGCCGATACAAAGCAGGGGAAAAGGAGACGGATCCCAAGACATGGAAAGCCAACTTCCGCTGTGCCATGAACTCGCTGCCAGACATTGAGGAGGTGAAGGACCAGAGCAGGAACAAGGGCAGCTCAGCTGTGCGGGTGTACCGGATGCTCCCACCCCTCACCAAGAACCAGAGGAAAGGTATCCAAGGGCTCTGGGTCTGTGGGAAGCCCTCAGGGAGGGAGGAGGGAAGAGGGAGGAAGAGGGGCAGCTGGGGTTGGCATGCTGTCCCAAGGCTGACAGTCTGTCTGCCCCACAGAGAGAAAGTCCAAGTCTAGCCAAGATGCTAAGAGCAAGGCCAAGAGGAAGGTAAGTCTGGTCCTAAGCAGCTGGGCCTTTGGTTCCCCTATGGGTCAGGGTGGGTAGTGGAGGAAGTGCTATAGTAGGTCTGGGCTAAAGCTTCTTCCTTTCTCTGCAGTCATGTGGGGATTCCAGCCCCGATACCTTCTCCGATGGACTCAGCAGCTCCACCCTGCCTGATGACCACAGCAGCTACACAGCTCAGGGCTACTTGGGGCAGGACTTGGAGGTGGAACGGGCCCTCACTCCAGGTGAGGTGTGCTGGGTCTGCTTAATGTAGTGGGGCCACTGGCAGGAGACCCTCAAGGTTGGTGGGTCGCTCTTTATCTTGGGTACAGGAGGCACCATGCTGGTGGATGGTGGCCTGTTAGAATAGGCTGCAGGATGGGCTGTGCTGGGTGTCTTGCAAACTAAGAAAACACACAGCCCTGACCTGTGGCTTCTGCTGTCCCCCAGCGCTCTCACCGTGTGCTGTCAGTAGCACTCTCCCTGACTGGCGCATCCCAGTGGAAATCTTGCCTGACAGCACCAGTGATCTGTACAACTTCCAGGTGTCGCCCATGCCCTCCACCTCTGAAGGTTTGTGCTCCTGGGGCCTGGCCTGCCTGCTTGACTTTGGTTCCTGGGAGGGGTTTCTGGAGGGAGAAAAGATGCTCAGAACTCCACCTGGCACTCAGTTGGTGAGCTGGGCATTGCCTGTCCCCACCCTCATGGGGATGAGGCAAGCCACAGGAACAGCAAGATGTCAGTTCAGAGTGGGCTGCAGGGCTGTGGTGGGCTGGGGAGAAGAGGGGATGGGCCAAGCCAGAGACTTGGTGTAGTGGGGCTGCTGGTTGTTTTGGTCCAAGGTTGCTAGTTCTCCTGGCTCCTCTGCAGCCCAATCTGTGAGGATAAGGAAGGAAGTGGGGGGGTGGGGGAAGAGGTGTGGCTTCAGAGTTTTAGAGGATGACTCACCAGGCCAGTGTCCTGTTCTGAAAACTCTGTGGGAGGCAGATGTCTGCTGGGAGGCCAGTGTGTGTGTACAGGTGCGAAGAGGCAGGGGGACCCAGTGGGCTGGAACTGCAGGGCCAGCACGGCTGACAGCTGTCAACCTCTCTGTTCTTGCCCATCACAGCTGCAACAGATGAGGACGAGGAGGGGAAACTACCTGAGGACATCATGAAGGTAAAACCCCTTCCTACCTGGCCACACTTTTGAAGTGGCCGTTTCTCAGTAAGGAGAGAACCAGTGAACATCTCCTCATCAGAGGGCAGGCCACTGCTGCTGTGACTTGGCCGTAGGTATAGTCCCACAAGTGGCTGGGGAGCACTGCCCTCCTTGGCTGGTAGGAAAGACACCATGGATAGTGAGGGCAGGCAGGAGGCCTGGTCTCTGACAGGCCATCCCGAAGCAAGCCTCTGGGCCACAGGCAGCTCTGTGAGTCAGCCAGTGTCGGCACCAGGTCCCTGGCCCTTGTCCTCCACCCTAACATGCCCTAGTCCTGCTAGTTTCTGAAATGCACATCAGGTTTCAATAACTGGCCTTTGGAGCTGTAATATGGTGGCATTTTTTGTATTTTCTAGCAAATTATCCTCCAGTTTTTGTTTTGTTTTTCTGTTTCAGTTTTATAAGTAAATATAAAAAAAAAAAGTTTTTGCAGTAGTTGTACCCAGGCTCCTCTCCATCAGCACAGAAAATCGAGACATGAGCATAGTTCTTCATCTCTAGCTTTTCTAACCATCTTCTCATCTTACTATGCTACCCATTGCTTCAAGCCACACTCCCAGCTGGTGTGTTCTTATACAGTTGAGAGGGCCTGTGTTTCTGCCACCTATCTCTCGGGCCCTTGTCCTAACTGCACTTCAGATCTGCATCCATGAAGCATGTGAAAATGGCCCAGTGTGTGATCCTGGCTGGGAAGCTTTGGCTTAAGCAGGGTGGGGCCAGTGCAGGGTGAGTGTGCCCTGGAAGCAAGCTGATGGCTTCTTGCTCTTCTGTCCCCAGCTCCTGGAGCAGTCAGAGTGGCAGCCGACAAGTGTGGATGGGAAGGGGTACCTGCTCAATGAGCCTGGGGTCCAGCCCACCTCTGTCTATGGAGATTTCAGCTGCAAGGAAGAGCCCGAAGTTGACAGTGCTGGGGGTAAGAGGTCCCTGGATCCATATGGCTTCTTGGAGAGGGGAGAACCACGTGGGGGCGGGGAAGAGTTGAGGGTAAGGCCAGGGAGCAGCAGAGGTCAAGCATCCTTCTTAATAAAACTCATCTGGGGGTACAGACAGCTTGAGAATTAGCTATTGCTCCCATACCATAAGGTTAGCCTGAAGATGAGTAGATGCTTGCTGCTGTGGGGTGGACAGCAGAGGCTGTGTCTGTGGTCTTCAGGGATAGGGCTGGGGAGGAAGCACACCCTTTGGCATCACCATCCAGCCTCACACAACCTTCCTCACATCTTCCAGGGGATGCTGGGCTGAACATACACCGCGTCTTCACAGATCTGAAGAACATGGACTCCAGCTGGTTGGATAGCCTGCTGACCCCAGTCAGGATGCCCTCTATCCAGGCCATTCCTTGTGCACCGTAACTGGACTGCTGACCGCCTTTTGCTCCCCTGAACAAGCAGGACCTTGTATCATGGTGGCTCTGGTACAGAGAAGCAGGACTCTTATAGGCCCCGTTGACACGGCAAAGTGCGACCCCACTGCCTAGTGGGGATGGGTTCTCCTTCCTTGGGTTAGCAGGCTTCTCAGGGCCTGGCAGGCCAGGGCCTGGGCTCACCTTTGGGGTAAAGCTGGACCTGCCTCCCAGGAAGTTGGGGTTCTGAAATTGGTGTGTCAAATGGAGGGCTCAGACAGGAGTCAGCCTCTAGCTTTTCCCTCTGAGCCCAGCTGCCTAGATAGGGTCTCTCTGTCACTGAGCTGGCCTGAGGAGCACAGACCAGTGACCTCAGAAAAGTATAGCACCAACCCCAGGGCTGGTTCTGCACTAAGAGACAATTGCACTAAGTGACTCCTGTTCCCAAAGACCCGCCTCCCTTCCCAGCTGAGCCCTGGGGACTGTTCCAAAGCCAGTGAAATGTGAAGGAAAAATGGAGTCCTTCTGGATAGTGCTCCTCAGCCTGAGAGGAGCTATGCCCTGCTCCCTCCACAGGCTGAGGGGCTTGGGAAAAAAACATGGCACTTTTTCTTGTGGACTTTGCCACAGTTCTGATCAGAGGTGTACACTAATGTTTCCCTCAAGCTGAAAGCCTTTGCATTTATTTATACAGTGCCTTGCCCTGCACTCACCCCACCCCCTCAGGCCCCACAGCCCTCAGCAGGCCCAGGGAGGGAAGTGTGAGTGCCTTGGTGTGACTTACAATTGGAAACGCCATCTAACCACTAAGTCGTGTGACCACATGTACACGTGTGTAAATATGTACATTTGTCTTTTTATAAAAAGTTTAATTGTTTATAAGGGGTGTGGCCTTTTATTTAGAGAGACATTATAGATGATTTTACTTTTTATGGAAACAGATTCTGATGGAGTCATTCTTGGGTGAGTGGTGACATGCACCTGTCACAGAATCCTTTCAGTTACATTCACAGAGAAGATGGCAGGTGGAGGGGACAGTCATCATGCTCATGTAAACATAATCACATGGTCTTGACCATATAGCCATGGCTATGAGTTGAATTTGGGCTTCTGGGACCTGGGGAGGTAGACAGTGTTAAAGTTTTAAGTTCTGACGAATTCACGTAGACTATATCCTGCTGAACTCTAATGCAAGTGAACTTAGATACTACGACAAAAAAAATTTAACAATTGGTACAGCACAGTCACAGACAATCAAAACAGATACCAGCCCAAGAAAAGTCCTCAAGGTCTGCTGTGTTGGGCATTACTTGCTGCTGTCCAGTTTCTGCACTGATGGGAATGTTCTATATCTGCACTGTCCAGTATGGTAGGCACAGGCCCCATGTGGCAATTGAGCAACTTGAATTTTTAATTATATTTAATTTTACTTAATTAAATTTTAAATAGCTACATGTGGCCAGTGGCTACCTAAGTAGACAGCACTGGTAGATATTGGATTGGGGGCAGACCTGATGGGGAGGGGCTTGGGTGGATGGAGGACACTAGGGCAGAGGCTTGGGGCTATTTATCTGCCAGTTCTAGAGTATTTACTATTTAAACAGCCAAAAATGACTGTTGGTGCTGAGTACCAGCTCTGCATTGTACTATGACACAGGTTCATGCACAAATGCATCAGGAAAATACTGGGTGAGCTTATGTGAAGCAGGCTTCTTTTTCCTGAGTGTCTTTTCAAGGTCCTAGCTGGGCTAAGGAGCCTGGTGGCGCAGTGGTTAAGAGCTCAGTTGCTAACCAAAAGGTCAGCAGTTTGAATCTACCAGCTGCTCCTTGGAAACCCTGTGGGGCTGTTCTACTCTGTCTTATAGGGTCGCTGTGAGGCTGTGAGTTGCAATTGACTCGACAGCAACAGGTTTGGTTTGGTTTAGGTAGGCTAATGCATTTGGAATCTCTGTGAAGGGGTATATTTGATCAGAACAGTGTTTCTGAAGATGACAGTTCGGGAGCCACTGACATGACGATGCTCCCTTCAGATAAGGATTTCAGGGTGGGAGGTCTGAATATAGACTTTTCCCATCTCCCTCCCCAGACTCGCCCTTGGGGTGGAAACAGTACCCAGCAGTAGCCTGGCCTGCGAAGGGAAGCCACTGCTCTGGCATCACCAGCATCATCTAGGGAGTGGGGCCATGGCTGTAATGGGGTTGCCCAGGGAAACTAACACCTCTGGACACATATTCCATATTCTCAGTCCCAGAAACCACACACAGACTGTGCCTCCCGTCACTGGAACCAGCCCTCTGGAGGAGTGTGGGCCTTTAATGGGGGAGTGAAGGCCAAGTGGGAAAATGATGAAAAAACTGAAAAATGTGTAAAGGTCAGTCTGACACTTACGCCAAGCTCAGAAACTTGAACTTGTTCCCTGAACTCATGCTTAGGGAGCCCAACTGTGAATTGCAAGCAGACTCCTATTGGTGGGGTATTCTGCACAGGCCCCATCTCCTTCCCTACCCATCAGAGATTCACCTGGATTCTTCAAGACTAGCCTCATCTGAGGGCTGAGGGCCGCGGGCAGAGGGCCTAGCTCCACGATGAGCCAGCCCTTACTGGTAAGAGTCGGATTGGGATGGCTAGCCTCCTTTGACCTCGATCTAGGGGCTTGCCAAGGTCTATGAGTGTGTGACTCTTCTGGCTAATGATGCTAGGGTGGTGTGAAGCCAGGTGGAGTGGACTGAGGAGTGATGGGAGCAAACGGATGCAACCCAGAACAAACTGCAGGGGTTACTTGTGACTTCTCTTGTCCGTCAACCCAATCCTTGACTGAGAGTAGGGAGTGGGTATCGTGAAGTCCCAAGATGCTGCAGAAATCTCTCGAGTTCTAATTTACAAAGTTTGTCACTTGTAAATTACCAAATTATGAGTGGAATTAGGTCCATCAGATCCCAATCTTCACAGCCAAGACGGAGTCCTAATTTCCTACAGTTTTTCTGATCACTGGAGCCCTAACCAATTGGGACCAAATCCTTGGAATGTCCAAGGAAGGATCCCAAAACTCTGTATCCCCCATCATAAGGGAGCTGGTCCTAGGGACCAAACCTGGAGGAGTAGCGTGGGATAGGACCAGATCTTCCCAGATGGACAGCTATCTCATCACACCCCCACCAGGTACTTTAGCCCTTGCCTGAGAGGACAAACACAGGTCCAGATGCCTACTTGAGTGATGGCAGCTGACACTAACTCATCAGCCAAATAGTGCCCAAAATGGAGCAACTCCATTGCAACCTGAACCAAATTTGAGCCTGATAATTTAAGGCCATTCTAAGAACCTGCCAATCCTTCTGTGGGCCATTCCCAAGAGTTTCAGCCTAAGCACTAATCGTGGAAGCCCTTAGTTGAGGCAGCTAGGAGGTTGTTAGGAGGTTGTTGGAAGGTATGTTTTGTTGAGGTTGCAATTACATCACTGTCATCAAGGACCATTTTCCAATGAGATAAACTGGCAAAGTGGGGCTCAGCCACATCAGCCAGAATGCCCATATTGGGCCAAGTCTACAGATGTTCAAGGGCATTTCTGGTTAGTCACAGGGGTTTTCTTGCCTTACTCCAAAGATGTCACTTTAATTAGGCTGGTTTATTCATTCAGCTCACTTGGCAGCAGGAAGAGGGCTAGAAGCTAACATGGTAGTTGCCCGTACAGCTGCTAATGGAGGCAGAAGATCTTTCGGGAAGACATGCAAACAATCCCTTTTCGGTGTATCAGCTTTCAACATCTCAGTGAGCTGTGTGCAGGGTGTTGTGACCACCATGACTCCCAAGATAAAAGCTTTCTCAGATTCCTCTGGAAGTCTCTAGTGGGGTTAGCCAAGGACAGAACTGAAATCCTGGGAGAAGCTCTGGGCCTGGCTGGAGGTAGAGTCTTTTCCTCTGGGAGTGATGCCCTCTGGCTGGTGGGGCTGGGTCACGCTCAGGCTGTCATTCTTTGGGACCATTTAGTCTTCTTTTACACTGTATCCACAGATCCAAAAATCCCCTCTTGTATTAGTTAGGTATGGGTTTCCTCTAGGCAGTCCCATTGGAGCACACAGGGCTAACACAATGACCAGCAGGAGCTTTTGTCTCTGTCAGATGTAATGCTATTTCTTAACTTGTGCATGCCTGATCCTCCATCGTGAGGGGGCATGAAATTCATCCGGACTCAGCACTAACCTTTCCCCGCTTCTGCCAGTTGGCTTGTCACAGAGGCAGGAGGCCTGGGGAGGGAGAGTAGGGAAGTAGTGTGCTCCCATTTCCAGAAGGAGAAAGTAGCTGGCAGGGCAGGACTTGACATTGTCAGTCAGGGTCCCTTGTAAGGCAAAGTCTAAGGGCATATCTGGCTGGCCACATGGTTTTCCTAGCTCCAGGCAGCTCCCAAGAGACCATTTCTGCAGATCTTCTAGGGGTGAGGAGGGGGAGTAGCACAAGAAGTCCCCACTTCTGCCAGCTCAGTGGTGAGGCTGATCTAGGGAGTCTATTCTAAGAAGTTAATTTCAACTGGGGAGATACTGGAGGCAATGGGGCAAGAGAATAAGGACTGAGTGAGAGAGAAGAGGAAGACTCCGCCATCCCTCACCCAAGGAGATGACACGACAAGCTCAGAACCTGGAAAGGACCTCAAAGTCCAGCTGCATAATGACAACATATCCTTCGAGTGCTCACTTTGTGCCGGGCGCTATACCAAGCACCCCATGTGCACCTGCAATGGATTAATTACTTTCGTGTGTGGTCTTTCTAGCCATGGTGTTGTAACTCCCACCCAGGTGATTGTGTGACAGGGTAATTTTGGCCTACCTAGGGGATTGGTCAGTTTTGCCTTAAAGAGAGCCAATTCTAGCGCAGAGAGGAGGAGCCCACCACCATGGAAGGAGACCCAGCAGCAGGAGATGGCGTGGTGGGCCATGGAGAGAGAATGCTGAATGCCTTTGGGCAGAGACTGAGGGCCAGGGAGAGGTATGCCTGCGAGCACTGCTGGGGAGAAGCTATCTTGATGGAAGAACTGTATCCTGAGTGTTCCTAAGCCTGAATTATAACTGTTACTTCCCTAGTAAACCCCATAATTGTGAGGATGGTCTGTGAGTTCTGTGTGGCCACTGCAATGAATTATCGAACCCAGTAGACAGCGCTGTGGGAGGGACGGTTGGCGTTAGAGTTGGGAAAGATGGCGGCGAGAAGAGGCATGTCTGAACTCTGCCTCACAGGAATTAGCCCTGGGCTGTTGATCTTGCTTCTCCTTCCCCCTTGTGGGGTTGGAGGAGGTCATACACCGCTCCCAAGCCATTTTTACAGCACCATCGTATGGTGCCCCACCACAGCTCCACGCTGATGGACCATGAAACCAAAGCTCAACTGATATAAGGGACTTGCCCAAGATGACTCAGCTAATCAGTATGGAGCCTGGATTCTAATCCACATGTGTCTGTGCCCAGAAGCCAGGCTGGTTCTGCAATACCAGGCTGCCTGTAGAGGAGGAAACTGAGATTTGGGGAAGTGGATGTTTAGGAGAGCTGGCCAGGGGCAAGGCACTAGCACCCTATGCCAATAAAGCATTTGGGGACATCGAGAGAAGGCAGAAAGCTGCAGCTGCTCTGGACACAGAACGGGGCCCAGCCCCTGCCTTCAGCTCCTCTGCCTGCTGTTCCAATATACACACCCTCCTGCCACCCCAGGCAACATGGCCCCGCTACAGGCCCCAGGGCCCCACAGGGTGGAGTTTGGCTTTGTCCTCAAAGGCAGCAATGCCCCACCTGTACCCTGGAGGCCACCTGCAGTTTCGAGGGGTGGGGCTCCAGGGGGCTGGGGCACAGACAGGCCTGTAACTTGGCCTCAGTGCAGGGGGAAGCTCAGTCCCTC